AGAGAAGAGGTCTATGTGCTAAAAACAAAGGTGTGAGTGAGGCCAGAAAGGAAGGAGGAGATGACATGATCAGAACAGGGTTTTTCAGAGGCAATGATCAATTGCAGAAGGTTGAAGGAGGGTGGTGAGATGAAGCACAGAAGTGCCTGTGTGCAAACGTGGAGATGCACAGAAGAGAGTTAAGGGGTGAGGGAGAGCTCAGGAAAGGATCATCAGCATCCCAGCGAACTTGAAACCATGGGCTTGCATAAACTCTCCAATGAAAAGGTCAGATAGAGAAGAAAAGAAGACCAAAAGAACCCTGGGAAACATCAGCACACAAGGAGCCACCAGAGGAAAGCAAAACAGTTACTGCACCTAAAACCTGTATCCCCAGCCTCCACCCACCCTTTCCAAATTGTTTCTAACAAGAAACTAAACAAATGATGATGGTTATCTTCTCCCTCCCAGTGCCTGTCTCTCCTTCTCATATTTGCTTTCTTTCTTCCCTTCCTTGCCCTTCCTTCCCTGATCTCTCTCTCTAAGGAAGGTCTTGATAAGCAGAAAATCCTCCATCAGAGCTATGCCTCCCCAGGATCTGCCCCAGTTGGAGCAGGCATCAGGCTGGCAGAAGGTCCACTGGAAGGACTGACTTTCAGAAGCTCCCTGGAGGTCAGAAACTTTGATGTCTTTTTTGCCATAACTGGTCTAAGCATACTGACTAATGAGATGACCACCCAGGCCACTACTAGCTTCCCAAATGGGTTAGGTCTGCAAGAAGTGAGGGTTCCGCCAACCTCAGGAAGGGACCAGAAGCATATGATGGTTGTGAGGGTTCAGCCATCATGGTCACCAATGTGGACAGCATGTCCTGGCCTGTGTTTGGCCTCCATAGGGCTGGCTGGGGGTTGGGAGCTTAGTGTGTCCAGAATGAGATTTTCTTCTGAGGTGAAGTTTGCCTGAGGGATTCTGACGCTTGGTGGTGACTTGTCTTTCTCTAGTTTCCCAAGATGAGGTAGGTAGTATTGCCAAGCCAGAAAACGTGGGCTGATACCCAGCAGGCAAACCCTTGGCCTTCTGGGACTGAGGAAAAGTTCCCCAGCATTTGCAACAACACTACCCACCTCATCTTGGGAAATTAGAGAAAGTCAGGTCACCACCAAGTGTCGGAATTCCTCAGGCAGACTTCGCCCTGAAGAAAACTCAGAGAGTGTCACCTCACTCTGGACACACTAAACCCCTAACCCCCACCCAGCCCTATGAAGGCCAAACACAGGAGAGGCCAACAGAGCCACACCAAGTGTTCTCTTAGAGCAGATCCTCTCTCTGACTGAGGAGGCCACTCTGCTGTCAGAAGAGGGAAAAATCAGCATCCTGGGTTAGTGGCAAGAGGGAGAGCCCAGAGCTTCATTCTAGCGATACAGCCTCACATCCCTCTGGAACATTCCTCTCCAGTAACCACCTGCAGTTTTCCCATCTATAAAATGGTGGTAATATCTACAGTGCAGGATTATCAAAGGTCCAGCAAGAAGCCCAGCATATGTGGCTCCTCCGCTGAAGGTTGATATGCTAAGCCTGACACAATCCAAGGCTGAGCACTGTTGCTTGGGATCCCCTGGGCAGCCTTCCTGCTCTTGGTCCTTTTTAAAATTAATTAATTATTAATTGAGTCATAATTGATTATACATATTTTTGGGATTCAATGTTGACATACGTTGATCAAATCAATATTACTAGCATATATATTGTCTCAAACCGTACTTATTCTTTATGCCCCTTGTCTAATCTCTCCCTATCTCCCTTTCTCTCCCCCTTCCCACCAGTGATAACCCTAGATTTCTTCTCTCCCTCTGAAAGAGTAATATTTATTCTGTTGATTTGTTGCCTGGATGATCTGTCCAATGCTGAAAGGTGTGTTCAGGTCCCCCAATATTATCTTAGAGCAGATGCTGCTTCTGTCACTCTGGAATGGGCTTTGCAGAGAGAGACATCCTCTTCTTTTCTATCTCTGCTGGTGACTCTCCTTGTGTCAATGCACTTCAGAGGCTGGTGGACCATCTGCGTTGTGGTTGTGACATCTAGCCACTTTTGTGGCAGCCATGGTTACTGTGGTGGCTGTGGTGGGCCACCCACATGGAGGTGAGGTTTTTGGCATGCTCTTTGGCACTGGTGATGTGCCTGGTTGTGGGCGGGGGTCTGGTCCCCAGCCTGATGCTCTGGGCCCCTGGGTGGGGCACCAAGGCACTGGTGGTACGCCTGGATGTGGGTGGGGGGTCTGGTTGCTCATGGTCCTTTAAAGACCCACTTCCTGATAGTGGCCTCCTAGCTCCCTATCTTCTTTCCTTTTATGTTCACGGACTGAGGTGAAATGAACTCTGATGGCAACTAGGTAAACGCTCTTATGCCCAGCTTTGGGAATAAGGGATGGAGGGCAACAGCAGGATCAAAGTGAGAGGACCCCAAACTCAAGGAGAGACTTAGGGAGAATGAGAGGCCACCCCTCCTGAGTCCCTCACTGGAGCTCCACTTTCACAAAGTCTTGCTGTATGTGGTTAGGTAAATAAAAGAGGCTGGGACCATATGGGAAGTGAGAATCCCAGGACTTATCCCCTAAACTAAAATTGGCCCCCAGGAGATTCCTCACGGGCTTCTGACATGGTCCAGCCCCTTCCTCATCCCCAAGCCCTAACACTCTTCTTTTCCTTCAACAGAAGTCTCCCTTTTCTGGGGCTTAGGAAATCAGTTATCTCCACAAGGTGACTTGACTTATTGTGGGCTGTGGGCTGGCATTTTTATTGTTATGTGTGTGTGTGTGTGTGTACAATCCAGCAGATTGCTTTGCACCTCCTGCCTGCACCACTCCTACCTCGAATGAAAACAGCCAACAATTATATTGTACTTCTCATGTTCCAGGAACTGTTCTAAGTGTTTTATCTGTGACAGTTCATTTAATCTTTACAGGAACCCCATATGGTAGAAAGTATTATTTATCACCATTTTCGAGATGAGGAAATCATGGCACAGAGAAGTTAAGTAGCTTCCACAAGGTCACACAGCTAGTTAACAGCAGAGGCAGGTTCAAACCCGGGCAGTCTGACCTCAAAGTCTGTGTTTTTTACCTCCGAGGTACACAGCATCCTGAATATAGAAAGCCTGCAACCCTCATAGGTACAGCCCCACCCCCCAAATTCCTGCCCCAGCATGGGGCAGATTGATCAACTAGGACAGCCACAGGTGCTGAGGATGATGAGACTGATCCTTAAGGACACTCTGAAGCAGAGCTTCAAAGAGCAAGCCTGAGCAGAGCAGCCCTGGGAAACAGTCACACAGACACACCACACTGACATGTCAGCAAAGAGGCAGCCAACTTTGAACTGGGCTGCCTCTTACCCTCACGGTCCACACTGTGACAAGCTCTGCAAATAGCGGCCCGAGCCACGGGACTAAAGAAGAATTTTCATGTGTGCACAGCTTGGAAAGAACACACACACACACACACACACACAGACAACAGTCATCCACAGGAGCACCGTCTTTAAATAGAAAAGATAGCCTGAAATACACCCTGAGCTTGCGGGTGCTCACACACACAGACACACACGGCCAGAGCCAGGGGAGCAACTGAACAAATGCCTCAGCTGTGCTGGTGGCAGCGAGAGGAAATCTAGTGCCCTGGCAGCTCCTGACTTTCAGTTCCTATTTAAAATGTCTGAATTGGGAGCATCGACAAGCTCCCAAATTAGCTTTTTAAATAGAAGCTGAGAGTTAAAGGAAAAGCGGCCGTGTCATGGGGGAAAAGCAAGCGAAAATCCCGGCCAGGCCAGGCCAGAGGCAGAGAGGGGGAAGGCGAGGACAGGCAGTGCTGGAAAGATGTAGTGCAGGGCTGGGGAACCAGTAGGAGGGACAATATCTCCTGGGCAGGGGCTCCTCCAGTGGCCCCAGTCAGAGACCTCTTTTCTCCCCATCACTCCACTCTTATTTTCCAGGTCACCTGGTTGTGAGAAAGGCTGGTAAACAAAAACCACACTGGCCTAGACTAGAAATCCATCTTTCATATTTTTCTCTAGATTCTCAAGACAGAAAGGAGAGAACAGTCTACAGCTACTTCACTTAAACGATATGAATGGGAAGAATGAGGGGCAGGCAGTGAAGAGGGGGTGTCTGAATGAGTGCCCTGTTTTCACACAGGGCTCACAAGGCCCAGGAGGCCAGAGCTATCCCATTAGTTGACCTCTCCAGGGGAGGAACAATGTCCCCAGCTAACTGGTCCAAAAAGCCTCCAAGCTTGGGCAGACATAGCCCCTGAGCTACCCACAAGATGCAAAACAACGGTGGGAATGTACAGAAGTGCAAGTCTGGGCAGAAATAAAATTTGGGGGTTTAACTCTCTTAAGTTGGATAAGGGGTGGAAGACTGAAGGAAAGTGCCCCTCCTGAGAGCTGCCCACCCACATAATGCACCTTTTCCCAGGGGTCAGCACAGATGAGGTTGGCAGTTGTGAGAAAATTAGCTCTTCCCCAGAGGGAAGGAAGGAGGGAGGTGGGAGCAGTGCCAGGGCCTTCCCTGAATTCTTCCGCTGTCTGCCAGGGAGTGGCAGTGTTGTTAATCATTATTACTGTATGCAAATCGCCATGCAAATCCCACACAGCTCTGGAACTCCAGGCAAATGCTAATGGAGCCCACGCCCACCTCTTGAAGGGCCAATTGTACACCTTTCAGACTGACACACAGACAGGGGCTTTGCAGAAAGTGAGTTAGTGTGTGAATGAGGGGCTCCAAGACTCCAGGGGCCCACAAGGGCTCAGACCATAATTACCGACCCCCGCCCCTTCATCTGGAAGAGGGCTAGTTGTTCTTACAAACCGGAAGCCCCGTCTGGACTCACGGAGGTCCTTTTCCAGCCCCGGATCTAGAACTGCCCTTTCAGTACATCCTCGCCATCACCGTACACTTTGCGTTTCTCTCGGTCTCTGCGCACACACCTCTCCACAGTCAGAACTATGATCGCTCAAGCCAAGCGTTCAGGTCCCTGCTGAAGCGCGGGGCTTTCTTGCTTTCCCAGCGCCAGGCCGAGATCCCGGGATTCCGGGCACCGAGGCCGGAGACACGGGGAAAGCCGGAGCCACTGGTCGGCCCAGCCACGGGGACTGAGCCCTCCGCGCGCCGTGGCCCTGAGGGTGGAAGTCTGGGCCGGACGCCCGGTCCGGTGGGCACATGTCGGCCTCCCACTCCCCATCCCGAGTCAAAGCAGCAGACAGTGGCGATCTATGGGCTTCAGGGAAGGACCGAGGGGCTGAGCCGGCTCCGGGAGGAAGGGGACGGCTCGGGTGTGAGAGTTCACACTCACAAGTCCAGACTCTCGGTTCTGGGTACTGGGTACACGTGGCAGGGTAGGAGGGCGAATCCCGACCTTCCGGCGTGCCCTAGCGATCCGGGAGGAGAGCGGCTCTTATGTGGCATAAGGGCAGTGTGTCCTCCCCGCAGGACCTCTCCAGCCTCCGCACACGGAGCTTAGAGCCAGCGCGAGCCAGGAAGCTTGCGCGGTGGCGGGCTCCACCTCGCCAGGTGGGGGGCTTTGCCTCAAGCAGGTAACGCTGGCTCGTGGACAGTCGTTGAGAAAGAGACACCCAACTAGGTGCACATACACCCCCCGCGCGCACACGCCGGCGCTCCCTGCCACCTCTCCCCAGGTCCCCAGCCACACACGCCCGCCCGCGAACTCACGCTCCCGCCGTACTCCCCGCTCCTCCCCCACCCCCAAGACGAGCTCACCTTGCCACGCTCACCCCTTGCCCACCCTCGCCGACGCACGCACTCACACCCGCGTCGGAACACTCCGCCACCTCCAGGCACACCCTAGGATTCCTCCACTCGCCCGGGGAGACGCACCAGGCTCTGCTGCCTAGTCTCCCCGCCCCCC